TTAGTAGATGTTTTAAAGATAATTGCTGTGACTGGTGGGAGGTGATACCTTGTTGCAATTTTGAGTCCCTTGTCTCTAATCATTAGCCATGTTAATCATCTTTTCCTGTGCTTTTTCTCTTTTAAATAATAGCGAAACTAATATTTACCTCTTGAAATTGGCCTCCAGAGAGTCGTCCTGATTTGAATTCTTTTTTGATTACCTCCCCCAGGATATTTCTTGAGAGCTGGGGCTGCAGGCCTTGTGAATATTCAGTGCCGAGTTGCCGTTACAGGTAGTGTCCAGACTGAGGCAGCACTTAACGTTCGCAGCTGTGTCCCAGCACACCCCAAGGCAGCTGTCCACAATTCTGTGGAGCTTCTCTGGATGACCCTTGAGGGCCTGACTGACTCAGTGTTCCCACACCTTCCTGTGAGGCAGGGACTGTGCAGACATCCACATTTCTGGCTCTCTCTCCCAGAGGTTCTGAGTGGAAAGGACTGGGGGAGGCTGGGAATGTGCATTTTGTAAAGTTCCCCAGGGACCTCTGAGGGAGCGGCTTCTGCCTCTCTGCTCCCCACCTCTGCCCCGCCCCGGAAAACTCGAGCTCAACCAAGCAGGGAGGACTAGGAAGTCATTCATTTCACCCAAAGTTTTCACTACTTGGGCAGTAGGAGGAATCAATTAGAATTCATTAATTAGAACCCATAGGAGCCACCTATCTAAACCAGGGTTCCTTGAGTGGGGCGCCTCAGTGTGCTGGAGAGGCTGTTAAAATGCAGATGCTTGGGCCACACATGCATCTGCCACAGAGGAATCCTTGGGGGCACAGCCAGGGAATCTGCATTTGAATCAAGCTCTCCAGAGTGGCCACTGAGTCCAACACCTTCCATGCCTCTAAGAGATAAGAGAAACTGAGAATCCAAGAGTGAGAGTGACATGTCTTCAATCACATCACATGCTAATGGCAGAACTCTCTCTAGACAGAGGCTCCTCGCGGTACAGAACTCCAGCACTTCTCAACTGTCCAGCGTGCCTGCAAGCTCTCTGTCATCTGACACACCCCACCTGGCTGTTCTGGGACAGGCCCCTACTGTCTAGAAAGGCTGTGGTTTCTTGTCTGTGGGATTGGACTTTGATTTGACAAAGTCACTGTGTGTACAGGGGTGGCCACACTGGCCATCGTGTGAACACCCTTCTCTCCACCACTCCTGTGGGCCTTGAAAAAAAGGTCAGACAGACAGATGTGACCAAGGTGTACAAACAGAACCCCACTTTATTAGCAGTTAGCTCAAGATTGTACATTAATGGAGGAAGGTTCCCACGTTCAACACAACCCAAAACGGCTGGTTTGAGAGCCCTGATCAGCTGAGTGGGGAAGCACCCTCCTCCCCACCCACAAAGGAAGGAAACCTCTGACTGTTCCCCTAACCTGCCCCCCACCCTCTCAGTCAGCCCGCTCCTCTCTCCCCAGGAAATGACATGAATTTCATGCACAAATTACAAAAGGAGCCCTCTTGCTGATAATAAAAGCTAGCACAGTCATAGAAAACCCTCAATGCCCTCATTCTCCTCAAGGGCCACGGAGAGGCAGGGAGGGATGAACTTATTAGGATAAAACGCAGCCAGAGTCTTCCCTGGGCCCTCGACATTGACTGCACACAAGGCCCACGGCTCTCCCTGGTGGGAGCTGGAAAAGCCTCTGGCGGTCTGAGCTGGGGAAGGGAAGCCGTGGGGACAGGCAGCCTCAGCCAGGTAAGCAAGCCGGAAGCCCAGCACTGCCTCAAGGGCAGGGGGACCTCCATCCCCACCTCAATGAGAGCCGACTTCCTTCCTTCGATGTCTGAAAACCCACGCTGTAGCCCCATCTGCTTATTCTAGATGGGAAGTTAAGTCCTGGGAGGAAAACTGTTACCCTAGCTCCTTAGTGCACACAGCTTGGACAAAACCACATCTCCTGCCTCCAGCCCAGTGCTTTCTCCTCAACCATGGCCTGGGCAAGCTGCCCCCACCCCCTTCTTTGGTGCGTCCTTGTGGCTCTGCCCCCGTGCACACAGACCATGGGCCGCCAGGAAGTGAAAACCCAGAGATGCAAAACAGAAAGAGATACTATTTGGTGCCCTGTGGTCCAGTCTCAGGATCAGGAGAGCACAGGACCTTCTGAGTCCAAGATGCCTCATTTCCAACAGGCCCAGCCTCCATGCGTGCGGCCTCTTCCTTCTAGACTCCCCCAGCCCGGTTGTGAAGCTGCCTCCCCCGCCCTCTCCAGGAGCTCTGGCCCGCCCCTCTGTTGATTTGGCACTTGGTACAGGTGACAGCGGAGGGACTGAAGTTTTAAAGTCAGCAACAAGAGGTAACACTTCCCAGAGCCTAAATCGCCCTTGCCGATGCAGGGGTTAGAGGAACTAGACACCGTGGAGAAACAGATCAGCTTGTGGGACGTCGAGCCTCAGAAGTAACGTCATTTAAAAAACCAAAGTGAGCAGAACGAAAACTTCACTGGCTTGAAAGAGACTTTAGAAAACACACTTCCAAGATGCAACCTGTGTACCTTAACTAGGCCCTGATTCTAAAACCAGGCATAAATTATTCGGGGGAACTTTAAATAGGGACTTATGTTGCTGGGAAATGACTGTTGTCTTGGGTGTGATGGCGGGCCAACTGAAGGAAAATGACCTACCTCTTAGGAGATGCAGGCTCAAGTATATGGGGTGGAGTCTTAATGATAAAACTAGTTCAGAAAAACTGTACAGACAAAAAGATAAAAAAATGTGGCAAAATGTTCACTGTAAGTCTGAACAGTGGGTAGTAGGAGTTGGTATAAAATATCTGGTACAACATTTACTTGCTCTTTCTAACATACCTGTGGGGACAGCTCCATGCTGGGACCAACTGGTCTCTGAAGGTCAGCCCAGCAGTTTCCTCCTGCTGGGAACAGACCACTGCTCCCTCGCTAGGCCCCAGAGGCACTGGCTACTCCTACTGAGAGGTGCAGAAGAGACACATCCTTACACCTCAGACTCTTTCTCCAAGAGCAAGACTCCTGTCGTGGGTGGCTCTAGAACCCCAGGTTGACACAGCGCACCTGCTCCCAGCCTGGGGCACAGGTATGTGGGGGAGACAGAAGAAGGGGGGCAGAGTTTCTGCTCCTGTTTTCAGGCCAGAGGACGCTGCACCACTGACCTCTGGTTTTCTCCCCCCCTCAGGGGGATCTGTGTACTCAGTAGCCAAAGAGCCCCTAGGGGACTTCTCTCCCCTCCCCAGTACCTCCAAGGTCCTGGCAGGGGGTCCTCGAGACAGATTCCTTTAGTGGGAAGGGAAAAAGTAGCAGTGACAAGACAGACTTACAACATGTGACAGATCAAGTCCCCAGGATTTCCTCTGCTCCCCCAGGGTCTCAAACCTGCCTGTTTCTTCCTCAGGCCGGAGGACAAGGGGAGCGGACCCACCTGCCCCTTGAGGACAGACCTCAGACGGTGGGAGCTGTGAGGTCCTCATCACAGAACATGAGCCCCGCACTGAAGGGCGGGAAGGAAGGCTGGGCTCTGCGCTGCGGAAGCCGCTGCCAGCTCTGGGAGTCTGGTTCCTGGTGCCAGTAAGTCCTCACGAGCATGCACGCAGGCATGTCGCCCAGTCCTCAGACACTCTGCTCCTAAGGCCCCATGAAAAGCATAATGGGAACACCTCTCTTGGGGGACGGTAGAACCACATGCAGCCGGCCCCGCAGAACACTCCACTTCTCCATTCCACGGAGACCATGGGGACCAAGACCCAGGTTCCCAGGCTGGGGAAGGGCCTTCTGAGGTGGGGCGAGCACGACAGGGATGCAGATCTGGGGCTGAGAAGGCACCGGCTGGGAAGGAGTGGTTTGTCCCCATATCCTGGAATGACCAAGGGCGTGACCGAGGGAGGGACAGCAACCTGGCAGAGTAGGGTCCCAAGGACAGGCTCAGAGGCAGTGTGGCACTGGAAGAAGAGCTCTGGACCTGGAAGCGGGAGCCTGAAGTTCGCTTCTTGGCCCTGCTCCCAGTCAATTCTGTGACGTCAGCCCAGGAGGCCACCTCCCCTTTCTGGAGCTGTGTCCACACCCGTTGAAGGACCCCGCAGCCCCAACATCCTAAGGTCTTCTGAACAAGACCAGGCTCTCTAGAAAGGATTTCCAAGGTGTCAGTTCAAAGCCGAACTGGCAGTGGGAGGGACTGGGGAAGAGGCACCCCAGCCTTAGTCACTTCACATTGTTAAGAGTGGGGGTAGGAGCAGGCCCCCACCAGAAACTAGTCCAGAGATCCCCTTGTCTGCAGAGGGGCCTGGAGACAGCTCGGGGGGGTCCTGGGGGCCCCCAAGCTCCCAGGGCAGCTCCCAACCTAGCACCATGTGAGGGGAAGGGGACAGGCCAGCATTTAGCCCCGGGGTCTCCTACCTCAGCCTGGCTGTTTCCTTTGATCAGAAGTCCCCTGGGATCACTGCACTTCATGAAGCCAGACTTCCTGGAGACAGTAGGTCTTCCCTCTGCATCTCACCACCCCTGTTCTCCTGGAGTAGCTGCAGGGCAGCCATGGCACTTGACCTCTCCAAGGGCACATTCATTCTGTGTCCTTGAGGCCCCCACACATTAAGATACATACCGCCCCCTCCATCCCATTCTCTAGCACTGAGATAGGACACCCTTTGGGACTGGGGCTTGCCACCATTCTGTACGACTGAATTAAAAACAAACCCAACCAAAAAAATATAATATATATATATATATATATATATATATACACACACAGTTATATATATATATGTAACACAGTGCAACCCCAGCACCCAGGGTATAAACTCTGGCACCAAGAAAAAAAAAATATTAAAATACTTTAGCTTCTTAGTACTTGGGAGGTTAAGGGGGGCTCTAGGTACCCTCGGCCCCAGGGAGCTGGCAGTCTCACCAACTCTGTCCAGCATCTGCCTGGGGCCAAGGCAGGGGCCTGGGGACAATAGATGTACACGGGAGCATGTATACGGCCGGCCCCACGACCGCCTCAGTCTCTTACCACAGGAAACACCACGCATGTCATATCCCAGGGGGAGAGAGGGGGCAGGGCTGAGGACTGGGTCTCTGGGTCCAAATGGCATGGCAGTGCCCCCAGGGCCCTGAAGGTGGCCTTGAGAACCGGGTGGGTACTGTATGAACCAGAGGTTCTTTCCCCAAAGCGGGAAGGTGAGATGCAAAGGTAATGAGCCGCAATGGGTGTGGAGGTCCAGCATTCTCTCAAGGTGGCCACCCTCACACCCCACCTGTGGCTGCCTCTGGGTTTCCAGCTGACCCCTCTGAAGAGCCTGACTTGAAACATCAGCAAAACGTCCAATTTCTCTCTCTGGTTTGCCAAAGGTCCCAGCTGGACCCTTGTCCTTGTCAGGAGGACAGAGACGATGTGGCAGCTAACACTGAGTGGACACCCTACGGGGCAGGAGTGAAGGATGGAGCGCGCGGTGGGTAGAACACAGTGAGGGACAGAGAACAGTCTTGTGGACTCCCTCCTACCAGCATGTGGTCCTCCACCAACAGGAAGTGGCCTCCCCATAAAGACTGAGCGGAACGGACCTCAGGTGGCAAGGGAGGTCCGAGAGGCCACCGACCGAGTGCTGGATGCTCTGAGGCACGTGGGCACCTGCCTGGGCTCTCCTCCTGGCTGGCCCGGGCCGCGGCGGAGTATTGCTTGTGAGTGCTTGGCCAGCCGGGCCCTGCTCCCCACTCTGCAGGTCAGTCTGGCTCAGCGTGTGGCGGGACGTCCCTGCCGTCACATTCAGTCCGGCGGTGGGGCCGCGGCTACCTGGTGTTCTGCAGCTCCTCCCGGAGCCAGGTCGGCAGTGTCTGGCCCATCTTGTACAGCAGCTTGGAAAGCTCGACGTTGTGGTCCCGGTAATAGTCCTTCAGGAAGGCGCGGGACTGTAATGGGATGGGAAGCTCAGACGTTAGTCATGTGCTGGTTTGAGTGACCCCCGCCCCCTCCTCTGGAAAACCAGCACCCCGCTGCCATCTCCCACTCCCATTATTTATTCACAATCTTCTTCAAAATGGTAACCTTCAAAAGAAAACATATAGTAGAAGCACCAAACTATAGTATACAAGGTGAAAACTCATGACTGGGAGAAAAGAGAGAGAATTAATCAAGAATATTTTGTTGAGGATTTTTGCATCCATGTTCATCAGTGATATTGGCTGATAATTTTCTTTCTTCTGTGGTGGTATCCTCATCTGGTTTTGGTATCAGGGTGGGTGATGGTGGCCTCACAGAATGAGTTTGGGAGTGTTCCTTCCTCTGCAATTTTTTGGAAGAGTTTAAGAAGGTTAAGTGTTACCTCTTCTCTAAATGTTTGATAGAATTTATCTGTAAAGCCCTCTGGCCCTGGACTTTGGTTTGTTGGGAGTTTCTTAATCACATTTTCAATGTCAATTTAAGTACTTGTGACTGGTGTGTTCATATTTTCTATTTCTTCCTGGTTGCGTCTTGGCAGGTTGTTTCTGGCAGGTTGCTACCATTTCGTCTAGGTTGTCCATTTTGCATTTCTGTGCTGTCAGTTGTAGCTTTTTCTTTTTCCTTTCTAATTTTATTGATTTACACCCTTTCCCCTTTTTATCTTGATGAGTCTGGCTAATGGTTTATCAACTGTATCTTTTCAAAGACCCAGCTTTTAGTTTCATTGATCTTTTCTGTTTTCTTCATCACTATTGTATTTATTTCTGCTCTGATCTTTATCCTCAACAAAATACTAGCAATCCTAATCCACCAATACAGCAAAAGGATCATACACCATGATCAAGTGGGATTTATTTCAGGGATACAAGGATTTTTCAGTATCTTCAAATCAATTAGTGTGATACACCCCATCAAAAAATTGAAGAATAAAAACCATATGATCATCTCAATTGATGCAGAGAAAGCTTTTGACAAAACTCAACACCAATTTATGATTAAAAACTGTCCAGAAAGTGGGCACAGAGAAAACCTACCTCAACATAACAAAGGCCATATATGACAAACCTACAGCTAACATCATTCTCAATGGTGAAAAGCTGAAAGCATTTCCTCTAAAATCAGGAACAAGACAAGGATGTCCACTCTCGCCACTTTTATTCAACATAGCTTTGGGAGTCCTAGCCATGGCAATCAGAGAAGAAAAAAAAAAAAGAAATAAAGGGAATCCACATTGGAAAAGAAACAAAACCATCACTGTTTGCAGATGACACACTATACAAAGAAAATCCTAAGGATGTCACCAGAAAACTACTAGAGCTCATCAAGGAATTTAGTCAAGCTGCAGGACACAAAATCAATACACAGATATCTACTGCATTTCCATACACTAACAACAAAATATCAGAAATAAACAATCCTATTCAACAACGCACCGACAAGAATAAGGCCAGATACTATAAAACTCTTAAGAGGAAAACATGGGCAGAACATTCTTTGACATAAATCACAGCAAGATCTTGTTTGATCTACCTCCTAGAGTAAAGAAAATGAAAACAAAAATAAACGGGACCATAAACAAAACGAAAAGACAACCCTCAGAATGGGAGAAAATCTTTGCAAATGAAGCAACCAACAAGGAATTAATCTCCAAAATATACAGACAGCTCATGTAGCTCAATATCAAAAAGCAAACAATCCAATCAAAACTGGGAGGAAGACATAAGCAAAGACTGCTTAAAGAGCACATTAAAAGATATTCCATATTATTAATTATTAGAGAAAAGCAAATCAAAACTACAGTGGGGTATCACCTCATACCAGTCAGAATGGCCATCATCAAAAACTCTACAATTAATACTGGAGCAGATGTGGAGAAAAGGAAACCCTCCTACAATGTAGATGGGAAGGTAAATTGGTGCAACCACTGTGGAAAACAGTATGGAAGTGCCTTAGAAAACTAAAAATAGACCTATCATGTGATCCAGGAATCCCAGTCCTAGGCATATACTGGAGGAAACCATAATGAGATGAAAAAAAAATTGCACCCCAGGGTTCATTGCAGTACTTCTGAACTTATTTACAAAACAGAAACAGACTCAGAGACTTTGAAAACAAGCTTATGGTTACCAAAGGGGGAGGAGAATAAACTGGGGAGTTTGGGATTGATGCATACACACTGCTATATTTAAAATAGATAACCAACAAGACCTACTGTATAGCACAGGGAATTATGCTTAATATTTTGTAATAACCTAAATGGGAAAAGAATTTGAAAAAGAATAGGTATATGCATATGTATAAATGAGTCACTTTACTATATACCTAAAAGTAACACAACACTGTTTATCAACTATACTCCGATATAAAATAAAAATTTACAAAAAAAGGAAACAGAACACTCCTTAATACCTTATACGAAAATAAACTCAAAATTATATAAAGACCTAAAGGTAAGACATGATACCACAAAACTCCAAGAAGAGTAACATAGGCAAAACATTCTGGCATAAATGATAACGATGTTTTCTTAGGTCAGTCTCCCAAGGAAAAGAAATAAAAGCAAAAATAAAGAAATGGAACCTAACTAAACTTAAAAGCTTCTGCACAGCAAAGGAAACCACTGACAAAATGAAAAGAGAAAATATGTGCAAACAATGCAACCAAGGAGTTAATTTCCAAAATATACAAACAGTTCATGTAACTCAGTATCAAAAAAAAAAAACAACTCAATTGAAAGAGCAGACCTAAACAGTTCTCTGAAGAGACATACAGATGATCAACAGGCACATGAAGAAACATTCAACATGGCTAAGTATTAGAGAAATGGAAATCAAAACTACAATGAGATCACTTCACAAGGATGAGAACGGGCAATGTCAAAGACCTACAAAAAATAAATGCTGGAGAGAATGTGGAGAAAAGGGGTTCCTCCTATACCATTGGTGGGGATGTAAAAATTGGCATAACCACTATGGAGAACAAAAGAGAGGTTAGTTTTTAAAAACTAGTCATTGCAGCATTATTTACAATAGCTAGGATATGGAAGCAACCTAGATGTCCATTGACAGTTGAATGGATAAAGTTGTGGTACATATATATAATGGAATATTAGCCATAAAAAGGAATAGCATCTGAGTCAGTTCTAGTGAGGTGGATGAACTAGAGTCTGTTATATAGAGTGCAGTCAGAGAAGAACAAATATTGTATATTAACACATATATATGGAATCCAGAAGGATGGTACTGATTAACCTATTTGCAGGGCAGGAATAGAGACACAGTCACAGAGATCAAACTTGTCACAGCTGGGGAAGAAGAGGGTGGGACAAATAGAGAATAGCATTAAAACATATATATTACCATATGTAAAACAGATAGCTAGTGGGAAGCTGCTGAATAACACAGGACCCCAGTGTGGTGCTCTGTGACAACTGAGACGGATGGGATGTTGTGAGGAGTGGGAGGGAGGTTCAAGATGGAGGGGACATATGTATACCTATGGCTGATTCGTGTTGGTATATGGCAGACACCAACATGATTCTATAAAGTGATTTTCCTCCAATTAAAAACAAAACCAGACCTACAATATGATCCAGCAATCCAACTCCTAGGCATACATCCAGAAAAAACTCATTGGGGCGCATGCATCTTTTTACACACATGCATTGGAAAGATATGTGCACCCCAACGTTCATAGCAGTACTGTTTACAATAGCCAAGATGTGGAAGCAACCTGTGTGACTATCAACAGATAAATGGATAAAGAAGATGTGGTACATATATATATACACATACACTAGAAAATTAAAAAGAATGAACTATTGCCATTTGCAGCAATGTCGATGGACCTACAGAATATCATACTAAGTGAAGTCAGACAGAAAAAGACAAATACTGTATGATATCACTTTATATGTGGTATCTAAAAAGTAAATCTATTTACAAAACAAACAGACTCAAAAAACAAACTTACTTGTTACCAAAAGGAAACGGAGTGGGGAGGGGCAAATTAGGAGTATGGGTTAACAGATACACAATGCTATATATAAAATAGATAAGTAACAAGGATTTACTGCATAACATAGGGAACAATATTCAATATCTTGTAATAACCTATAATAGAAGACAATCTGAAAAACTTATATATAAACACTGAATCACTTTGAGATGTACCTGAAACTAATACAATATTGTAAATCGACTATACTTGGATTTTTAAAAAATGAGCAAGGGGTAATGAAAACACTGGGAAACATAACCACAGTCACAATGTGTGCCCTTTCCCATTTATCCTACAAAGGATGTCCTCTCCTATAAGAATGCCTCATCCTTCCATGCCATAGGTCCAAATGCTACCCCATCCTTCCAGGCCCAACCCCAGAGTCAGCCCCCGCCTCGTCTGAGAAGCCTTTACCCATCTAGCTTCACATGGCACATCCTTGTTCTGAAGTCCCATCACACATGTGCATACCTAACTACACAAAGCACTTCTTGCCTTGTATTCTACTTACTGGCATGTGTGACTCATTTCCCTCCTAGACTAGGAGCTCCCTGAAGGCAAAGAACATGTCTGATTCATTCTCAAAGCCCCATAGCATTCAGCCCTTGCAAAAGGAATACTCTTTGACTAATCAACTCTAAGTCACTAAATCCTAGCCCACGTTTCCTCCTAAGAACACTATCTAAGAAATGTCAAGGCAATGCATTGAGCGCTGGGTGTCAGATAAAGAGAAGCTTCTCTCCAGTACGGAACCCCCATCATTTATTCCCCTGCCACAGGCAGCATGTCTGCTACTTACATCCAAGTCCATCTCTGGGTACTTCCGGCCCTTGCTTTTGCCTAGACACTTGGTTTTTCCTCCTTCGAGCAGCTGGCACCAGAATCCTTTCTTTGGATCAAACCTGTGGAGGTGGGGAAAGCCTTCATCCTTCCTTAGCTTGGAAATCCTCCAGAAACTCTCCAACTCAGGGGTGAGAACCCAGTAGGAGAACGTTTAGTGGGGGTTCTTTTGCTTTTTAATAAATTCAATCTTTATCAAGAAATGCTCTAACTACAATTGTGTTTAAGCATGTGTATCACTGGAAAGTTGCTGTTGTTTAGTAAACTCCAGAACTGACAAAGCAAGACTGCCTTCAGAATCTGAAGACATGCTGGGCCTTCCAGGGTATTTTGGGGAGAGAAGGTGCTGTTACCGGGAGGGGAGGCATAATGACGTCAGAATTCAGTCCCAGATCAGCAACTATCTGGAGATTCTTGGGCATAAGCACAGCAGGAGAACAGAGCTTCCTTCTGGCAGTAGAGCGAGATGGGGGTTTCTGAATGGGTCACAGGGTAGGCATGGTGATGCTGAGGGCAGCTGTCATTTACTGAGATTAGTATATGCTGGGCGCACTGAGCCAAGAGCTCTACAAGATAGTGACCCTCGGGAGGTAGGAATTATTATTACCTGTACCCTCAACCTATAGAGGAGGAAAGTGAGACTTGAAGGAACTAAGACCCAAGCTCAAGGTCCCAAAGTTAAAGAAGTAATGGGTCTGGAATCCTCACCCAGGCATCTCTGCTGCCACAGCCATGCTCTTCGCTGCTGCTCCTCTCTACCCTCAGTGCAAAGGACTGACTTCCCTTTTTTACCTTCATCCTCCAAAGTAGGGAGATGGGGATATTCTTGCTGCAGGGCTTTCCGAAGAAGGTAGCTGGGGAAGGAGACTTTATTTCTCCTCCTGAGACTCCCTCATCCAGCTGTGTGTCACCTGTCTGTGATTCACCCTCGAAGACAGCCTCTCCTCAGCCCTGAGTCCCTCAACACAGGCTGGCACTTATTCATCTTGGGAGGGCATTCTCAGTGTCCTTGCATTGGGTTTTAAGTGATGAGAATTAACTGTTGACAATATTTATAGTATCTTTTTCCTTAAATTATATTTAGGTCATAAACTAATGCTAAGAAACCCTTGTGGGTATTAGAGTTGCTCATTACTGGTCTAACTTAAACACTCTGAAAATGTTCAGTCCAGATTGAAAAGAACACCCTAGGGGAAGGACTACCAGAAGAGAACAGAGTCATCACCTCCCTTTTTCTTGAGTCAATACCTTTGTTTATATGACTCAAGTCATATAAAGTTTTCTGCTAAACTGCCATCAGGGCCACGCATACTTTCTCACGCTTACTGACTCTAATCTGTGTCTCTCTCCTAATCATTCCAACCTCTGGCTTTTGGGCCCATGTGCCTGTTTAGGACATCCCCCTGCTGAAAGGCCAAGATAACACTCACGCCAACGTTTTGTGGTAGTCAATGGTGTTTGTCACCCCAAGGAACTTTTGCACTGTGTCCATCACTTTGGCAGGTTCTGTTCGCAGCAGTTTGCCATCCAAGACCAGAATCTGGAAAAAAAGAAAAAGGAGAATGTGATCTGAACCTGTTTTCACTCCAGTGGCCAACAGGCCCCCAGTCTTCTGGGTCAGCAGCCATCGTTATGGGTTGGGGACCCTACACTCTATAGAGTGCTTCCTCCTCCTCCTTGGACAGGAGGCGTCCCTGTGCCTTAGCCCTGGGCAGTCTTGCTCCCTGCCTTCTGCCAGCTTCTTCTGACTGATGCCATCCTCTTCCAGCATTTAATCCATCACCAAGACCTTGCCTTTCCCTCCTGCCCCTATGACACCTCCCTCTCTGCCTCTCTCCAAGTTTCTGGACTACATGTCACTCTCCTGCCTAAACCCACCAAGGGTTTCTTAAAATGCCTCAGCAACCTGGCCCTGTTTACCTCTCCAACTGGGCTCTCCCTCCCTCCCAGGGCCTATTCCAGGGCTTTCTGGGTCCCCTTAGGGTTACAGAGCCTGCTGTGATGGGACAAGGGCTTGGGATAAGCAATACTGAAACCTTTGAAGATCCCAAAGACATAAGTGTCCAATGACCGCATTTCTGGCCCTGTCACTGGTAAAAGATCTTGAGGCCCTCGGTTAACTGCCCAAGTCAGTGCTATGGCTGCCCTTCCGAGGGTCAGGGACAGGCCTACCTGGTTGGCGTGAAAGGCGCTGAGCCAGCGCTCGATGTGGGTGGCGTACCAGCCGGGGACCAGGCAGCGGTTCTGGAGGGTGCGCAGTTTCAAGGATGCGTCGGGCCCAGCCGAGATCACCTCGTGGAAAGTGTACTTCAGGGCTACTGGGTCATCATGGGCTCGCTGGTGCTGCAGACGGGCAGGGAGAGAGGGTCAGCGTGCTACGTGGAGGCACCAAAGGGAGAGGCTTTTCTGGGGCAGTAACTAGGAGGTGGCCAGAAGACGCCAAGCTGGAACCAGGAGCCCTGGGCTCAAGATCTGGCTCTACCTGTCATTACCCTTTGACCTCAGGGAAGTCACAGCCCCCTGGAGCCCTAGTTTCCCCATCTTTGCAAGATGGGAGTCAGACTAAGTCAGAGCTTCCAAATGCTGGTCACTTCACACCATCTCTGTGGTCTCTGCCATGTCCAGCTGTACATGCCAAATCAACAGAATTTTCTTTATGTGGACTCCTTATTCACATAAATGTATTTCAAAATAAAACTCAATACTGCCTTCACAGATAGAAAACTAGAATCAGTTGTCATATATAAAGGTAATAAAGATAATCACTCATAAATACAATAAAATAAAGCTATGTGTTCACACACCAGGCAGATACAAATGTCTGCTCTAAGCCCTGATGCAGTCAGGCGGGCGGAGCCCCTGTGATAGGACTGGCGCCCTTGTAAGGAGAGACACCACAGAGGTTGTTTGCCAAGAGGACACAGCAAGACGGTGGCTGTCTAAAAGCCAGGAAGGGAGCTCTCACCAGGAACCAGATCGACTGGTACCTCAATCTTGGACTTAGATTTCTAGGCTTCAGGACTGTGAGAAAAAAATGCTGTTGTTTAAGCCACCCAATCTATAATACTTGCTGAGGCAGCCCAAGCAGACTAAGACAGAAGGACTGGGAAAGAACTGGAAAGGGGAAACGCCAGGTTTGAAGCACCTGAAATAATGCCCCAGGCAGTCGGCATCTGCAGAGTGCCAAAGTCCAGAGATCGCAAGCCTGTTCACCAGGGGTGGCCCTCACGAACCCCCACACCCTAAGCATCACACACAGCCTGGGCCAGGGGTGGGGGGATAGCCCCCATCCTCCTGCTCTCCCCTCTGAAGCAGGCCACCATCCTTCCCCTCCTTCCAGGACCTCCCTGGGCCCTCCTGGAAGAAATCAGCCCCCCTTCTTCTTATCCCGCCTCAGCCACAGACAGAAGAAGGAACAGGGGCTTAGACCTGGAGGAGCTGGGTTCAAAACGCCAGCACATGAACTTGAGCTCGTCACCCCGCTTGATGAACCTTGGTCTTCTTGTCTGTGAGAGGAGACACAAAGTTCTCCGCCCTCTAGAGGAGGTGCATCAGGACAGAATCCGGGCACCTCCAGCGAGGGCCGCTTTCCCTCTGCCTCCCTCTCCTTCCTCTTTCCACCCCCCATAAATACAGATGGTCAGTCACTGCTCACTGCCGGGGCACAGGATGGGGGGGCAGCAGGGCACGAAGAGAAATGGCTTCCATTCTCCCAGAGAAAAGGAGAATGTCGGGGTGTAGACAGAAAGTCGTGAGAAGAGTAGGCCTGCACTCCAGATGAGGAGGGTAACCGGCTTGGAGGGAGAGGAGGCGGAGAGGTCTGTGGGGGGGATCTGCACCTGGCCTCCTACCAGCCCATGGCCACAATGAGGCCCCAGAGAGGAAGCTCAGAGGGTGGCCAGGCCTGCAGCAGGACCAGCTCTACAGCAGGAAGCCTCCCACCCTGGCATAAGCATAATTCCAGCAAGATTGGCAGGTAGGAGAGGAAACCCCCCCAAAAGACCTGAGCCTAAGCTTTCCTATAAGCCCAGTGGAAAGGTGCTCAGAAAAAATTCAGTCAGGTCATTGAGATTAAAGAAAATTCTAGTTCTTACACAGTCAAGTAGCAACTAGAAGTTGCGATCTCCTGCATGAATCACAGTCTAGGTAACTTCCTTACCTGATCAGGCATTTGCATCCTCCACTAGGAAGGGCAGGTCCTGTGTTCTGTCCTTTTCTGAATTCCCACCCCCACTCCGAGCCCAGTTAGGAGGCCACAGTTAGCATGAGCCCAGATTACTTTTCACCAAATCCTGACTTCAGCAAGTAAAACCAGCCTCTACCTCTACTTGGAAAATCAGAGTCAGAGGCAGGTCCCCAGATAAAGCTGGGAGGGCAAGTAGGTAACCTGGCTGGGACTCAGCATGAATTTCTGCCCGGCTCCTCCTCTGGGCTGGAAGCACAGTGGAAGGGACCCTGTTCTTACCCACCAGTGCACTGCAGGAGCCTAGCTGAGGGAGAGCACAAAGACGACGCAGGATAAATGTCTGCTGATATTTATTGGTGGCTAAGTGGTAGACATAGCCTGTGCCACTACCCAGGGCCCCACCCCAGCTCACCTGGTACCAAGAGTAGGCTCGGTCCGCTGGGTTGATGAGGATGGTCAGGACCTTGGCCTTAGGTAACAGGGCAGCTGCCCGCCGGGGAGCCACTTCCGAATCAAAGTAGTTGGCGCTTTTCTCAAAGTAGAAGTCGGAGGTGGTGTTGGAGGGGATAGGGAAGAACTCCATGTACCTGCAGGAAGCCCACAGAGGGGGTGCTCACAGGCAAGATTCAGGAGAAGGGCCTGAGGAACGCAGTCAGGAGGGCCGGGCTCACTAGGGGGTGGAACGTGAGAAAGCAAGCAGGCACATTGCTCTCAGTCTAACAAGGACTTACTTCTGCCGGGATCCGAGACAGAGTGGCCACTTGGCAGACTCCCTTTAATGAATCTGTTCCTTTTTTGGGGAGACCCTGGGATCAGGAGGATCTTTTCTTCTTAAATGGGATGCTCCCAGAGTGAAACTGACAGGGCCCTAACCCTTACTGCCACATGGGGGCGAGCGGGGACGCTTCTGACTGGGAAACCCAGCACTGAGGGGAAGGACGCCCTCTGCTGCCTCCAGGCTGCAGGGTTTCCTTCCTGACCTGATGGTACTTTCTAAGCTGTTACTGTAGGCCAGCAGACAAGGAGGGGAGGCCATTGACTGCCTACCATCTGTCCCCCCCAACTCTGCCCGCCTCAAGAGCAACGCATGTATAAGGTTAGAAAAGACGAGAGAGAGGCAAACAAGAAACACGGTGTGAAACCATCCCCACTAGCACCCACACCCTGAGGGAGCCTCTGGTGACAGCTTCTGGTAGGAATCTGCAATTCCAGCCACGTTCCCAGGAGATTCCCGGAAGACTTAACGAGCCACCTCTGAAGGGCTCACAAGATCGCCTCCTGCTACATGGTCAGCCACACACAGTGGAAAGGGCCAGCTTTCTGGTCCGAACACCTGGATTTTAACCCCTGTTCTGTACTCAGCTCTCAGGGCCTCAGGCGTGTCCCTCTTCTCTTCTTGGACTCATGAAGGCAAGGAAGGGAATGGACTCTGACTTCTGGTATTCCGAGTCCAGGCAATAATATAAAGGGGCAAAGGGCTTCCTCATCAAGTGTCCCATCTGTGTGCAGGCTCCAACATCATGACTCAAGGGTCACTGCACTTTGTCCCTGTTTACAGGAACTGGCTGTGTGTGAGCAAGCGCCAGCTGCTTCCTGCTGTGGCCTCAGCAGACCTCCTCCTTGGCAGCCTCCATGGCGGCCATCCTGTCGCACTGCTGACAGAAAGACCCACTCACCAGTCAATGCCTTTGTGATAGTTGTGGCCATTAAAAAACTGGATCTCCTCAAAGGTCTCGGAGCTGGGGTAGTTGCTGCTGAGGTCGGGGTGCATGCCCAGGAACAGATAGAGGGCTGTGGTGCCTGCAGGGAAGGAAGGCAGGTGAGACCTGGGCCCAGGCCCCCAGCAAAAAGACAGAGTCTGAAATCCTGAGTTCTGGTCCTGGATCTCCGTTACTCACTGGGAGACACTGGAAAAGTCCCTTCTCTTCTCTGGGTTTAGTTTCTTCATCTCTACCATGAGGGAAACACACTAAACTCAGGATAGGCAAATACAGAGTCTGCATATGGGCACCCCAACTCTTGAATCCACTGCAGACATCACTAGCCTCTCACAACATTCTTCATCACAAAGACTTGACCTCAGAATCCTTCTCAGCACTGTACCCTGGCATTCACATCCACTTGATTATTGTCCCCACAAAACCCCGAAGAAGACGGTTTCTGCTGGCGCCTTCAGGCCCTGGGACTCGGGTCCTCTCTGGCACTTGGGAGGAACTCAAGGACAAGGGAGTTCCAGACTCGCCAGTCTGCTGGTGTGAAATTCTTGAAGGGCTAAGAAATCTGGCCCAGATGCCTCCTGTTTGAGTGCCCTTCCTTCACTCACGCTCCCTCCCCATTCGACAGTACAGGGCTCACCCCCTCCCTTTAGAGAGTCCATTCCTTTCTTGCACAGATCTACAGTTAACATGCTCTAGTGAGAGCTTTCAGAAGAGAAGAGACTACAGGGCTCGGTGGTTCAGAGTATATATTTCGGGGGCACAGAGACCAGAGTCCCAGACCTGGATATGCCATCTCCTAACTAATGTGTTAGAGAAAGTGACAAGTTCTGCGAGCCTTGAGCGTTTTGTCTGTAACGTGGGAACAGCCATCCATACCATACAGTGTGCGTGTCACCACCGCAGACATGACTGACTTGTCAGTCCTCTCTGCCCTGATCCAGTTTTACCAGGCACTGTGCAGTCTTGCACAGCATCGGATCTAGGCTTCTCTGCTTGGACTCAGAAACCCCCAAGAGGACACCAAGAGAGCTCTCTGAGGCTATGGTTCACAATAGGAGAATTCAATGCCCAACCTCTACCCTTCCCACCTCCACACTGATGGGCAACTCATGGTCACCCCAGCTTCAGTCCCACTTCCTGGGAAAGAGGGTGTAGATTACTAGGGAGTGGAACCAGGGCACGACGGTCTCCAGAATTCTGTGGCTGGGACAGCAGGGGAAGCCGGTCAAGAGTGGAGAGACCTGCCTGTTTTTTGGGGGCCAATGATGAGGAGCTTTGGGAAGCGGTCACACGTCTTCTCCTTGGACCAGATGTCCTTATGGCGTTTGTCTTCGCAAGGATCCTAAAATGACAGTGGAAGAGATGTCAGGGCGGGGCAGAAGAGTGGACTCAGTGAACGGATTCCAGACTCCTACTGCACATGGATGTGTGGCTCTGACAGCCCTGAGTGACAAGTGTAACTACACGTGTCCTTGTCACATCCCCACCTCAGGACACTGAGCTACTGGGAGGCAGCATCCATTTCTGGTCAGTCTCCTGCTCCCGGACAAAACCTTAAAAAATGCTCACCCCAGCACTTGGCGCATAACAGGAGCTCACAGGCTCCTATTGTTGAATTTAAAAGTTCAGCAAGAGGTCAGAAAACTTTCTCTATGAAGTATAGTATATCTTTTGAAATGTTTATTACATATTTTAGGCTTGGGTACTATCTGGTCTGTCACAACCACTCAACTCTGCTATTGGAGCTTGAAAGTAGTCACAGACAGTTATGTACAAGAATGAGTATGGCCATGTGCCAATAAAAATTTACAAAAATAGACCACAGGCCATACTGACTTAAAAGCTAGGTTGTGGACTCCTGGTCTGAACTGTGAGACCATCAATTCAAGCTTCTGCTCCTAGTTTTTGACAGTCCCCACTGGTGCAAACAGCCAAAGTGGAAATGATGCTCAGTTGTGGAAGTGTCTGGTGGTGAAATTAAAGTCTGATGCAGTAAAGAACAATATTGCACAGGAACCTGGAACATTAGGTACATGAATCAAGGTAAATTGCACATGGTCAAGTAGGAGATGGCAAGAGTGAACATCAACATCTTAGTCAGTGAACTAAAATGATAGGAATGGGTGAATTTAATTCAGATGACTATTATATCTACTACTGTGGGCAAGAATCCCTTAGAAGAAATGGAGTAGCCTCATAGCCAAAGAAAGAGTCCAAAATGCAGTACTTGGGTGCAATCTCAAAAACAACAGAAAGATCTCGGTTCGTTTCCAAGGCAAACCATTCAGCATCACAGCAATCCAAATCTATGCCCCAACCACTAAGGCTGAAGAAGATGAATTTGAACAGTTCTATGAAGACCTACAAGATCTTTTAGAACACCAAAAAAAGATGTCCTTTTCATCACTGGGAATGCAAAAGTAGGAAGTCAAGAGACACCTTAAGTAACAGGCAAGTTTGGCCTTGGAGTACAAAATGAAGCACGGCAAAGGCTAACAGAGTTTTGCCAAGACAACACACTGGTCATAGCCAACACTCTCTTCCAACACCACAAGAGACGACTCTACACGTGGACATCACCAGAAAATCAATATCAAAATCAGACTGATTATATTCTTTGCAGCCAAACATGGAGATGCTCTATACAGGCAGCAAAAACAAGACCAGAAGCTGACTGTGGCTCAGATCATGAACTCCTTATTGCCAAATTCAGATTTAAGTTGAAGAAGTAGGGAAAAGCACTAGGCCAATCAGAAATAACCTAGATCAAATCCCTTATGATTATACAGTGGAAATGACAAATAGATTCAAGGGATTAGATCTGACAGAGTGTCTGACGAACTATGGATAGAGGTTCATAACACTGCATAGGAGACAGTGATGAAAACCACCCCTAAGAAAAAGAAATGCAAAAAGGCAAAATGGTTGTCTGAGGATGGCTTATAAATGGCTGAGAAAAGAAGAGAAGGGAAAGGCAAAGGAGAAAAGGAAAGATACACCCACCTGAATGCAGAGTTTCAAAGAATAGCAAGGAGAGATAAGAAAGCCTTAAGTGAACAATGCAAAGAAATAGAGGAAAGCAACAGAATGGGAAAGACTAGAGATCTCTTCAAGAAAATTAGAGATACTAAGGGAACCATTTAATGCAAAGATGGTCACAATAAAAGACAGAAATGGTATGGATCTAATAGAAGCAGAAGAGATTAAGGAGAAGTGGCAAGAATACACAGAACTGTACAAATAAGGTCTTAATGACCTAATAGCCACAATGGTGTGATCACTCATGTAGAGCCAGACATCCTGGAGTGTCAAGTCAAGTGGGCCTCAGGAAGCATTACCATGAACAAAGCTAGTAGAGGTCATGCTATTCCAGCTGAGCTATTTCAAATCCTAAAAGATGATGCTGTTAAAATCCTGCACTCAAAATGGCAGCAAATTTGGAAAACTCAGCAGGGGCCACAGGACTGGAAAAGGCTGGTTTCCATTCCAATCTCAAAGAAGCACAATGCCAAAGAATGTTCTAACTCCAACACAATTGCATTGATTGCACATGCTAGCAATGCAATGCTCAAAATCCTTCAAGCTAGGCTTCAACAGTACATGAATCGAGAACTTCCAGATGTACAAGCTGGATTTAGAAAAAGGAGAGGAACCAGAGATCATATTACCAACACTTGTTGATCATAGAAAAAGAAAAGGAAAAACCAGGAAAACATCTACTTCTGCTTTATTGACTACACTAAAGCCTCTGACTGTGTGGAACACAACAAACTGTGGAAATACCAGACCACCTAACCTGCCTCCTGAGAAACCTGTAATGCAGGTCAAGAAGCAACAGTTAGAACTGGACATGAAACAATGGACTGGTTCAAAATTGGGAAAGGAGTACGTCAAGGCTGTATATTGTCACCCTGCTTATTTAACTTACACACAGAGTATATCACGCAAAATGCTGGGCTGGATGAAACACAAGCTGGAATCAAGATTGCTGGGATATGCAGATGACACCACCTTAATGGCAGAAAGCAAAGAGGCACTAAAAAGCCTCTTGATGAAGGTAAAAGAGGAGAGTAAAAAAGCTGACTTAAAACTCAACATTCAAAAAATTATGATCAAGGCATCCAGTCCTTGCCACTTTATGGCAAATAGATAGGGAAAAAATGGAAATAGTAACAGACTTTATTTTCTTGGGCTCTAAAATCACTGTGGATGGTGACTGCAGCCATGAAATTAAAAGACGCTTGCTCCTTAGGAGAAAGTCATGACAAACCTAACAGTATATTAAAAGACAGAGACATCACTTTGCCAACAAAGGTCCATACAGTCAAAGCTATGGTTTATCCAGTAGTCATGAACAAATGTGACAGCTGGATCATAAAGAAGGCTGAGGACCCAAGAATTGATGCTTTCGAACTGTGGTGCTGGAAAAGACTCTTGAGAGTCCTTTGGACTGCAAGAAGATCAAACCAGTCAATCCTAAAGGAAAGCATCCTGAATGTTCATTGGAATGACTGATGCTGAAGTTCAAATACTTTGGCCACCTGATGCGAAGAGCAGATTCATTGGAAAAGACCCTGATGCTGGGAAAGATTGAGGGCAGGAGGAGAAGGGGGTGACAGAGGATGAGATGGTTGGGAGGCATCATCCATTGACTCAATGGACATGAGTTTGAGCAAACTCCAGGAGAGAGCAAAGGACAGGGAAGCCTGGCGTGCCACAGTCCATGAGGCTGCAAAGAGTGGGACACAACTGAGCAACTGAACAATTAGGGCAGACTTCCCGAAGAACTGTCCCTTAAGCTCTCTGACTGGTCCCCTTTCCCAGGCTCAGAGCCTGCTGGAGTGAGAAGGGACGTAACAGACAGTCCAGGCAGGCCAGCAGCTGCTTTCCACACTCATTTACACCATGTTCACCTGCAGTTCTATGCTGCTGTTTTTCACAGGCTGTGTGTGAGTGTGCATTCACATAGGTTCTGCATGGGAGGTTTCATGTGCACAAGAACAAGTGACAGCGCCCACACTGGCGAGCAAGTGTACACCTGAGTTTACACTTGAGAGTATGAGGGCTTGAGGACCGAGTCCCTGAGCCTGTGCCTGCAGCGCAGACCTGTGGGTGGTGGGCCTTCCCTCCCTGCAATGAGGTACCCAGGCCACCTGCCCCACTCACCTGCCAGAGCGGGTCCTTCTCCTCAGAGAAGATCTGGAAGTACTTCTGGGCCAGCTGCACTGGGGGCAGCGTCTGCAGCCGGAGGTTGGTCCAGGAGTGCAGGAAGCGCGCCAGGTGCTTGAAGGTGTACAGGCCCAGGCGGTCATTCCCGTAGTTGGACAGGTGTGTCATGAAGATGCTGATCTGCTCGGGGGAGGGAAGACGGGAGGCAGGGGCTGTTAGCCTCGGAGCCTCCTTCACTACCTTCACCCCCACTTCTGACCCACTGGCCTTGCTTAAGCCTACAGTGCCGCTCGATGACCAGTCCATGGTTCACCAGGGCCACTGGTAAACTCGCCACGTGACCATGGACTAGGCGCACCCGGTGAATCCAGTCTGACTGACACCAAAGACAGCAGCCCCGAAAGGGAAGCTGACCTCCTGTGCAGACGCGGGGGTGCTCTTTCGGACTCTTCTGGCAGGAAGGTGAGGGGGTACATGAAACGTAAGGAATACACAGTTACCCCCCAAAGCTGATAACACCACCACCTGATATCTATCTAATATTATCAAAGCACAGATGATTATTTCCATTTTACAGATAAAGAAAGAGAGGCCCAGGAAAAGAGATGAAAAGTTTAAAATGCACTCTACATCTATAGTGAGTGCCTTTTAAATTATATATATCAGTACATATATATAAACGTATACAGACATATAGATATATAGTTTAACATACTCAGTTTATCATGTATGTTAATATGCATTATTCATATATTTATACACACACAAGGACTGGAAAAATAACATGGACAAAAATGCCAACTCTATTGTACAGAAGTGCAAGATGATAAAAGGAACCAGACTGCTCAGATTCTCTACCAAAGTCACACAGCAAGCGGGGACAGGGCCAGAGCTGGAATGAGGGTTTCCTAACCCCCAGCTGCACACCTGCTCCTACCCTCCCCAGGGATGGCGGTCCAGCAGCCCCTCCTCACTGCCAGCCAAGGGCTGTGGAGCACTCACAGGGTTCAGGAGCACGGTGAGGAAGAGCTCGCCCCCGTTGATGATCTTGTCCAGCTCACTGGAGCCACCCGGGTACTCGTTGTAGAAGATGGTGTGTGTGAAGAGGCCACAGGTCTGCCGCGGGAGGACCTGGGGATGGGGTGGGAGAGGAGCTATGGCTTCTCCAGGTCCGGATGGCAGCAGGCAGGGTGTCTCCTCAGAGAGGCAGCCTCCTCCGTGTGACCACACGGCCCCCGCCCTTGGGGGTCTTCCCCACCAAAGAAGGTCTGCAGCCTGTGACAGTCCCCCAAGTGAGCCCACCCGGCCTTGCCAGTTTACATATGTAAACTCTCTTCATATTTCTCTGTACAAAATGAGCAGACTCCAAGGTATTAGGGATTGGCAAGAGGGAATCTTTCTGGCAGCCCGGCCTGAGTGCCCAGCAAGGGCCCTGTCCCTCTCTAGAGCAGCGCCCCCAGGCACACTCTGTGACTCTTCTCCTGGCTTTAGCACTTGCCTCATGGCATTCTCGGCTGTGCACTGGTTTAACTGTTTCTTATGTGATCCAGGAGAGTAGAGAACTCACCCTCTCTGTCACCACCTCATCCCCAGAGTCAGTAGGAATGCCTGAAAGGAGGAGGTCAGTGGACAGATGGATAGAGGTGTGACTCTGGCCTTCCCACAGCTGCCCATCTGGACTAATGAGAACTGTCCAGTCACTCCAGCGGCTGAGGTCAAAAACAGAGTAATCTTCTTCTCTTTCACATGCTATATCCAACTCATCAGCAGTTCCTGTATGCTCTAACTACTAAATGAGCCCAGAATCTGATTAGCACTGCACCCGGGGCCAAGCCACTGTACCTCAACCGGAAGACTGGAGCAGCCTCCACCAGCTCCCCACTTTATCCTCTAGCAGCCAGAATGATGGAAATCCTTTTAATATATGAGTCAGATCATCAGAGCACTCCATTCAAAACCCTCCCAACACAGACTAAAAGCTAAAGTCCATATAGGGGTGTTATGTTGCCCTACGTGACCTGGTCCACCAATCACCTTTCTGACTTCATCTCCTGCCACGTCCCAACTTGTCCCTTCCAGCCATAGTCGCCTGTTAGTTGGTCCCCAAAACCACCTGACACAAGCCTGCCTCAGGTACTTTGCACTTGCTTTTCCTGCCATGTATGCCCTGCCTCATGTAGCAGCATGGCTCCATCCCCAGAAAGGCTCTCCCTAACCATCTTGTTTAAGTTTCTTCTCTTCCTGCATGCATGCTAAGTTGCTTCAGTCATGTCCAACTCGGCAATTTTTATGGACCATAGCCCGCCAGGCTCCTCTGTCCATGGGATTATCCAGACAAGAATACTGGACTGACTTGCCAGGCCCTCCTCCAGGGATCTTTCTGACCCAGGGATCAAAGCTGTGCCTCTTATGTCTCCCTGCACTGGCAGGTAGGTTCTTTACCCCTAGCGCCACCTGGGAAGCCCTCTCCTCTTCTGAGCACACCCTATCTCCATCCCGTTTGATTTTTCTCCACAGCACTTATACCATCTGACTTTACACAGTTATGAATGCACTGTCTCCTGTCACTAGAATGTCAGGTCTACAAAGGTGGGGACTTCTGTTGACTTTGTGCTTTTCAGGATTCCCAATGGGTAAAAAAGGGACAGACACATTTTACGTAAGCCAACAAATGGATGAGACAGAGGCCTGTCCCAGGGCCTCACTAGAGGCCTCTTCAAAAATGTTCATCCACCTGATCCTGTCACAAAAGCATAAGAGTCACTCTCTAAAGAGGCAGACAGGCATCCTCCCTCCCTGGGATAGGGAGCCTCAGGTGACAGAGGGGACAGCAGAAACCCCTAACCAGATCCCCAAAGTCCTGCCTCTCAGGCTCCGGGCTGCACTCACCATGATGCCGTTGTGGATGAAACCGCGACGGTAGCGGGCTGGCTTCAGGTGGGGGTACTCCTCCGTGCTGGTCACGCGGATGTTCCACACCTGCTTCCAAGCCTCGTAGAGCTGCACATGCACAGGGTACACGCCCGAGTGGTGGGGTGCCACTGCGTACCCCATGTCTGTGGGAATGCCGTGCTCCTGGGGAGAGGAGGGCCAGGGCAGGGTGAGCACAGGGTTCCTGCTCCTCTGGGCCTTATTTCCTCTTTGTAGGGCAGGGGAGAGAAATCAGACTAGGATGGCAGGGCAACAGGTCCGAGACCTCGAGGTGCAGATGGAGAAGCTGAGGCTCGGGGCCCAGAGTCTCGGAGGAAAGCACTGGCCGAGCTGGGACTTCCGCTCTCAGCCCAGCGTTCACTTCCTTCTGCACCAGGAGTGAGGAGCAAGGATGGGCACCACTCTGCCTTCGTGGTTTCTATAACTGGTTGGTGGCTTGGGAGGCATCGGCACCAGGCCTCATTCTCTCCTTGCTGGGCACCTCTTTCAGCTGTCCAGGGCTCCTAGTCTAGCCTCAAGAGAAGAGCTTGGGCTCCGGAAGCCAACAGTCCTGGGTTTAAGTCCTGGTTAGACCTCTTATAAGCTGGGGTGGCTTCCCTGAGCTTCCGTTTCTTGTCTAAAATGATGCTATTGAGATACCGGGTTCTTGGGTATCAATGAGGCTTCAATGAGACAGTGGCTATAAAGATGTTAATAAAAAGCTGTCACATGGAACTGCAAAAGCAGCGGGAGGCCAGCAGTTCTGACCCCCAGTCCAGCCCCGAGCCCACCCAACTCTGCCCTGCAGGGAATCTTACTCACGACAGCGAACTTCTTGTTCAGGGCCATCTGCTCAGCCAGCACGGACTGGTTGTGGAAAAGGTGGGGCTGCATGTGGCTCCACATGTGGGGGAACCACCAGAACTCCTTCACGTATGACAGCAGCAGGTCGTCCCCCGCGTCCTCAGCGTCGGTACCTACAGCCCAAGCACAGGCAGCTCAGCCCAGCCCAACTGCCTCGAGGCCCAGGGGTGGGCGTGGAAGGCCACTGCCCACCAAAGTCGCTCAGAGCAATTCTATGAGCTACAGGGCAGCAGAGACAGAGCCCCAGTCCAGGCCCTTGACTCACTCAGTGGATGACTCCGACCAAGTTCTCCCCGTATTTGGGCCCTCAAGGCCTATCTGTGCAATATGCAGTTCAGATACAATGATCCCAAGGGTTTCCTCTAGCTCTGACTTGCTTGCTGTGACTTCAGTCCTGTTTTTCTATTGGGTTACTTGCCTTTTACTTATTATAGATGTTCTCTGTATATATACAGGATGTTTAAGCTGTCTTGTGTACATCACCACAACTACCTCTGAGATGCTAAGGGTCTTGTGCGTGTGCTCAATCATGTCTGACTCTTTGCAACCCAATGGACTGCAGCCTGCCAGGCTCCTCTCTCCATGGAATTTTCCAGGCAAGAATACTACAGCAGGTTGCCATTTCCTACTCCAGGAGATGGAACCTGCATCTCTTGTGTCTTCTGCACCGGCAGGCAGATTCTGTACCATTAGTGCCAGCTGGGAAGTCCTGTTAAGGGTTAAGAATATAAAAATACCAACAAACCACCCAGTGTTGCTCTTATTTGGCTTTGGAGCTAAGTTAGACTTTCCTCCCAGAGCTGCAGACTAGTAGGGTTTGCCTAGAGTTTAAGAGAGGCTGTCCTCACTGTGGCCCAAGCAGAAGGCAGCTCAAGTGAATCCTCACTAGAGATGACCACTCAGGAGCTGTTCCCTCCTGCCCAGTCTGAAGGGCAGCATGTGAGGAACAAGGGCAAGTCACCAAGAAGAGGGCAAGTACGAACCAGACAGCCCTCAGCCTTCAACCTCAACCCTTAAGACATGAAAATAAACTCATTCCAGGCAGAGAACAGGATAAAAACCCACAAGAACAACTAAATGAAGTGGAGACAGGCAACCAACCTGTAGAAGAACTTAAAGATGCTAAAGTGTGAGTTGCTCAACCTTGTCTGACTCTTTGCAACGCCACGGACTGTAGCCTGCCAGGCTCCTCTGTCCATGGAATTCTCCAGGCAAGAATACTGGAGTGGGTTGTCATTTCCTTCTCCAGGGGATCTTCCCAACCCAGGGATCAAACCCAAGTCTCTCCCACTGTAGGCAGATACTTTACTGTCTGAGCCACCAGGGAATAAGAATTTAGACTAACGATGAAAAGCATGATTCAAAATCTCAGAAAAAGAATGGAGGCATAGATCATTAAAATACAAAAGATGTTTAACAATGAGCTAGAAGATTTAAAGAACAAACAGAGATGAAAACAATACAATAACTGGAATGAAAAATACACTAGAAGATGTCAATAGCAGAATAACTGAGTCAGAAGAAGTGAGTGGAAAGACAGAATGATAGAAATCACAGCCATGGAACAGAATAAAGAAAAAACTAAAAGAAATGAGGACAGTCTCAGAAACTTCTGGGATAATATTAAATATACCAACATTCCCTTTTTAGGGTCCCAAAGGAGGAGAGAGATAAAGGGACTGAGAATATATGAACAGACTATCGTTGAGAAGTCTCCTAACATGAGAAAATAATAAACCAAGTTCAGAAAGCACAGAAGAATCCCATACGACATAAACCCAAGGAGAACCATAAACTCCTCCAACACTTACTAATAAAACAGACAAAAATTAAAAGACAAACAAAAAAATATTAAAACAAAAAGCAACAAATAACATACACGGAAACTCCCACAGAGTTATCATCTGATTTTTCAGCAGAAACTCTGGAGGCCAGAAGGGATGGCACAATATATTTAAAGTGATAAAAGGGAGACACCTACAGCCAAGAACACTCTATTCAGCAAGGCTTTCATTCATTCAGTGGAGAAATCAAAAGCTTTACAGACAAGCATAAGCTAAGAGAATTCAGTACCACCAAACCAGCCTTACAACAAATCTTAAAGGAACTTCTTTAGGCAGAAAATAAAGGGCCACAACAAGAATCAGGAAAATTACAAAATGGGAAGCTCACTGTTATGCAAACAAAGTAAAAGTAGGAAATTATTCATACACAAATCTAATATCAAACCAGCAATCGAGAAAAGAGGAGAGTACAAATGAAGAATACTGGAAATTAAGAGACCAGCAACTTAAAACAATCTTGTGCATATGTAGACTACTATATCAAAACCTCAGGGTAACCACACATACACACAAAATCTACAAACGATACAGACACAAAAAAGGAAAAGTAATCCAAATACAACAGTAAAGATAGACATCAAATCACAAGAGAAAAGAACAAAAGAGGAAAGGAAAAAAAAACTTTAGGAATACACCCAACTAACAACTAACAAAATGTCATTAACAGCATACATATTGATAATTACCTTAAATGTAAAAGGATTAAATGCTCAAACCAAAAGACATAAATTGGCTGAATGGATACAAAAATAAGACCCAAATATACATATGCTATTTACAACACTCTTTTAGAAAGGGTCTCAGGAAGCATTACTACAAACAAAGCTAGTGGAGGTGATGGAATTCCAGATGAACTATTTAAAATCCTAAAAGATGATGCTGTTAAAGTGCTGCACTCAATATACCAACAAATTTGGGAAATTCAGCAGAGGTCCCAGGACTGGAAAAGGTCAGTTTTCATTCCAATCTCAAAGAAGGGCAATGCCAAAGTATGTTCAAACTACCACACAATTATACTCATTTCACATGCTAAAAGGTAATGCTCAAAATCCTTCAAGCTGGGCTTCAACAGTATGTGAACCAAGAAATTCCAGATGTACAAGCTAGATTTAGAAAAGGCAGAGAAACCAGAGACCACATGTCCAATATCCATTATAGAAAAAGAAAGGGAATTCCAGAAAAACATCTACTTCTGCTTCATTGACTACAGTAAACCCTTTGTGTGGATCACAACAAATAGTGGAAAATTCTAAAAGAGACAGAAATGCCAGACCACCTTACCTGCCTCCTGAGAAACCTATATGCAGGTCACGAAGCAACAGTGAGAACTGGACATGGAACAAAAGACTAGTTCAAAATTGAGAAAGGAGTACATCGAGGCTGTATATTGTCACCCTCTTTATTTAACTTATATGCGAAGTATATCACGTGAAATGCCAGGCTGGATGAAGCTCAAGTTGGAATCAACACTGCCGGGAGAAATATCAATAACCTCAGATATGCAGGTGACACCACCCTAATGGCAGAAAGCAAGGAGGAACGAAATAAAGAGCCTCTTGATGAAGGTGAAAGAGGAATGTGAAAAACTGGCTTAAAACTCAACACCAAAAGAAACGAAGAACATGGCATCCAGTCCCATCACTTCATGGCAAACAGATGGGGGAAAAAATAGAAACAATGGCAGATTTTATTTTCATGGGCTCCAAAATCACTGTGGACGTTGACTGCAGCCATGAATTAAAAGATGCCCGCTCCTTGGGAAAAAAGCTATGATACCTAGACACTGTATTAAAAAGCACAGATGTCACTTTGCCGACAAAGGTACATCTGGTCAAAGCTATGGTTTTTCCAGCAGTCATGTACAGATGTGAGACTTAGACCATAAAGAAGGCTGAGGGCCAAAGAATTGATGCTTTCAAACTATGGTACTGGAGAAGACTCTTCAAAGTCCCTTGGACAGCAAGGAGATCAAATGAGTCAACCCTAAAGGAAATCAACCTTCATTATTCCCTGGAAGGACTGATGTGGATGCTCAAGTACTTTGGCCACCTGATGTGAACAGCCGACTCACTGGAAAATACCCTGATGCTGGGAAAGACTGAGGGCAGGAAGAGAAGGGGGCAACAGAAGATGAGATGATTGGATGGTATACTGACTCAATGGACATGAGTTTGAGCAATCTCTCTCTCTCCAGGAGACAGTGAAGTACAGGGAAGCCTGGTATGGTGCAGTCCAATGGGTCGCAAAGGGTTGGACACGACTGAACAACAGCAAGGTCAGAATGGCCATCATCAAAACATCTAAAAAAATAAAGTCTAGAAAGGGTGCAGAGAAAAGGGAATGCTCCTACACTATTGGTGGGACTATAAATGGTTACAACCATGAGGAAGAATACAGAGGTTCCTTAAAAAACTATATACAGAATTATTAATACCACATGACCTAGCAATAACATTCCAGGGCATATATCCAGAGAAAACCATTATTCAAAAAGATATACGCACCCCAGGGTTCACAGAAGCACTGTTTACAATAGCCAAGACATGGAAGCAACTTATCTATCAACAGACCAACGGGTAAAGAAGAAGTGGTACATATATACAATGGAGTATTACCCAACAGTAAAAATGAGTGAAAAAATATCATTTGCAGCAACATGAATAAACTGAGATTCTTATAGTCAGTGATATAAGTCAAACAGAAATGAAAAGTACCATATGATATCGCTTATAGGCAAAATCTAAGAAGTTGGTGCAAATGAACTTATTTACAAACAGAATTAGAGTCACAGATATAGAAAACAAACCTATCGTGGAAAACACTTAGAGAGATGGGAATACCAGACCAACTTACCGGCCTCCTGAGAAGCCTGTATGCAGGTGAAGAGGCAACAGTTAGAACTGAACATGGAACAACAGACTGGTTCAAAATTGGAAAAGGAGTAAAACAAAGCTGAATATCATCTCTCTGGTTATTTAACTTATATGCACAGTACACCATGTGAAATGCCAGGCTGGATGAAGCACAAGCTGGAATCAAGATTGCCAGGAGTTATACCAATAACCTCAAATATATACATGACATGACCCTAATGGCAGAAAGCAAAGAGGAACTAAAGGACCTCTTGATGAAGGTGAAAGTGGAGGATGAAAAAGCTGGCTTAAAACTCAACACTCAAAAAAACAAAACTCCACACTCTTCTGGTTCAAGATGGCAGAATAGAAGGACATGCGCTCATATCCTTCTGGGACAGCACCAAAATTACAACT